AGACAATGTTCGTTCAAGAGTAATTGATTGTTATTGACCAATATTTATTATGCATAATTATTAAGGAAATTTGTTTGCTTCAGTATATATTATTATGGATGTATTATTTATTAAGACATAACACCTTGCAAAATACTTCTCCACATTTTATTTGATTTTAGTTTTGTCTTATTTCGTACTTATTTTGTTCTTTTTACATGTAACAACTTCTCAGTCAATATACTCAGATTCTAAATTATATCAATTCATTTTTTCTCTTTTGAATTGTCAATTCGACAAGTTATAATATACTTTTCTTTTACTTTTCTTTTTTTATCCTTTTCTTCTGAAATGACAGTTTTATAACTGTTTTTCTATTCAATTCTCTCAACATCTATTGGTGTTAAATTATAATACTATACTAATATTTTTATAATGCTATTCTCTCATATGTGATTGTAATATCATTTATTTAGATATAAACTTACAAAAACACAGAAAATTAATATATCCACTTTTGAATATCAATCTTTTAACAACTATTTCATCCCTTCTTTGTAGTTACTTTCTTTTATTTTCTTTCTCTATTGATACTTTCATTTGTGTTATACATATACTATTTTTACAAAAAACGTAGATGTATTTCAATATATCACTTTCCGAAAACATATCTCCAATAATTTTAATAATTATTTTAATGTTTTGTGAAATTATGTCTTGATCGATATTCAAAACTATAATAGTTGTTTGTAATTCTTTTGTTTTTAATTTATTCAATCATGTCATCACGTGTTTCCATTCAAACGTTCTGAACCATTATGACTATGTTTTCCAATAACAAAGTATCATTTCATCTCCTTCTCAGAAATATTAAACCATAGTTTTTGTTTTATAATTAGGAATTTCTTAAAAAGAAAAGTGTTTAATTTTTAGAATAAAATTACCAAGCAAACTTTTTCCAATATCAGTACTTCCAATCAAAAATGTTTTTGTTTTAGACTTAATGCTAATTATTAATAGAGTTGAATTAAATTAACATTTAGATATTGCTCCTTTTCACATTCAAATATAAATAATGTTTAATACACATAAAAATACTAACTTCTTTATTAATAAAAAAAATTTAATACAATATTATATGTAAGTTAATTTTAAAAACATTGAATAACTATTTAATGAATGCAAAGATAATTAATTTCTTTTTTTACATCCCATTAATAAAGATGACATTGAGAACAATTCAATTTTTAATAAGACTTTTCTTCCATTTTATATTAATTCATTCTTTATTTATTGTCTTTATAATTCTCCTATTAACTATCATTTTTAATCTATAATAATTCTTTTGATGGTTTTATTTTATATTTATTTTAATTATGTTTATTTAGATATATTCAAAAAAACATTTAACTTATGAAATTTAAATATTAATTACTTGTTTAATACCCATACAAATACTGAATAATAAACACAATAAACTAACTATTTTCTTTTATTTTAATAAATGATTTTGTTGTTGTGTTGCTTAACCAGATTTCTTTCTTTTATTTTATCTTTTATTTTATAATTAATGATTTTAAAATAGTTTTTCTAACTAACAATATTGAATTACAACTTACTGATTCTTTGAATTAAATTATAAGTTGAGAATGAGATTTTCCATCTCAATAAATTAACCTATGTTCTGTTATATATAATATACTTTTATTCTTATTATTTTTACTATATGCCTATGTAAGTAGTAAATATAGTTTGTCTTTCATACGCATTTTTTATTACAATATATTCCTTTTTTTTAATTCATTCTTTATAAGAATTATTACTTTTGTTTAAGTGAATATACTTTTGTTATTTTTAAATATTAAGTTTGTGTATAGCTTCAACATATATTATTGTCATTGTTCTGCCACTTCCAAATACCTTTTTAACAGAGAATGGAAAGAATAACTCCTCATTTTGATTCTTTATGAATATCAAGTGTATTCAATTCAACATATATCTTTGATGAAATAAATACCAAAGAATAAAAATATATAACAATAATAAAACAATGATATACAAAAGAAAAATCTTTTTATAGATATTTCAATTTCAACTTAAAACCAAATGGTTATGTATATTCTCAAATACAGTTGTACTTAAAAGTTATTACTAAACAAAGCAATAATATATTTCATTAAATCATAACCCAAAAATACAAAAAAGGTAATAAAACACTCAATCAAAAAAAGTAATTTTAAAATTGTCATATTTTGTAAATACGAAACAAATTTCAAATTATTATAAATGAAGAAGAAAATATCTTCCAAATGAAGTAGAAATGATATATTAGAAGATATTCGTTATAAGATTTAAAAAAGATATTATAATGTTTTATTAAGAAAAATGAAACAGAAAAAGATAATAAAAAACAATTAGAATGAACAAATATTAACACCATTGATGATTAAAACTATCAAAAGGATTTAATTCTTCTTGATCAGAAGAAGTGAAGAAAGAATTAGAAGAAGCATCTTTTGAAGAAGAGGAAGAAATAATTTGAGAAGTAACATTTAATTGTTTAATAGAAGAAATGATATGTTCAGTTTTAAGCATAATAGATTGAACTTCTTTCAATTGATGCATAAGTGCAAAATTTTCAGTTGAATTTGAAAATTTCATTTGATTTTGTAATGAAGATAATGCGTAGTTAAAAGATTGACGAGCGTCAATACAATATTTTTCTATTTTAGATTTTGAAGAAGAAGATAATGTAGATTGAGTTAAAGAATGGTCAAGAATAACAGGTAATTGTAATTTTG